GCAGACTGGCAGCCTTGTAGTGTAGTCCGGACCGGACCAAAACCCTGCATGCAGGCATAAATGTCCGTAGAAGAGAAACAAAATGTTTCACCTCTGACCATGACCCATGGTTCCAGTTCTTTACTCGTTTGTTTTTTTTGTTATCTCATGTTGATGTTGGGGCGTTTCCTGAAAGCAAAATCGTTCCAAGCTGGGGACGGCTAACCATGTACCGTCAGAAAGGAGAAAAGTTTTGCGCATGCCACGCATCGGCGTCGGTTCGCTATGGACCCGCCAGGAGATACGGCCCTTCCAACCGCGGCAAGAGACGTTCTAGATCTTTCCTTGGCGTGCTGCCGCTTGTGACTGGGGATTTTTTTGTGCCGAACCCTATCTAGCTGCAGCTGCGCCGACGAGCCACTTGCCCACTCAAGGTCTGCCTTGGCAATCTCCTGGCAACCTCTGGTCTTCACTTGTGTTCACAATGCAGGCCAAAGGGCACATGCTTTGAAAATTGTCATTTTCTTTGTCTGCAAATCCGTCTTTCATGGTCCCAGTTAACACACGTGGGCGACAAATACCTGCTGGCAAAAGGGGACCGCGTCGTTCGTTTTTTTCGAAGCCGAGCCTCGTGCGTAAAATTTCGCGTGTGTCATGTCCAATGCGCTGGAGACACCATGCTGTGTTAGTAAGCAATGTTGCGCCGCATTGGTGGCCTTGCGCCTGCTGAGTCTGGCCTGCGTGTGCCTCGTTCGACCCGGACATCTTAATCAGCGCTTAATCCTTACTCACGTGCAGGCAGAGGAAAAACACCAACCGCGCATCTTGGCCTAGACGGCGATGCGGGTGACGCAGCGGCTGGCCAATCAGACGCCGAGACTGTCTCGGACACCCTGAGCGCCCACACAGCAATCGCTTCGCCGCCGCACACGCCGCGCAGCTACCTAAGCCTCGCACACAATCGCGCGCGCACCACCGCGCCCACACCGGGCGAGCCCGAGGACCTCGTGCATGGCGAAGTCGCGCCAACGCAGGCCGACGAGGCGACCCCGGGGTACTCACCAGTGGACGCGCTTGCGCCGTGCGATGCGCACGCGCCCGCGTTGTGCGATGCGCGGCCACCGCGCTCTTCTCCACCGGAGCGGCTGTCGTGGCTTTATGTGCCACTTTTGCATGCGGCCGCAGGCTCCTTGTCTGAAGAAGCGGTGCGGGCGTGGAGCTCGCACCCGAGCTTGGGCG